GTACATCCTGCTCGCCTTAATATAGAATTTTCAGTACGGATTTTGAAGCTCACTAAATGATATCAAGATTGTGAGGATAGAGGATATATGAGTTTGATTATTGATAGTAAAAGTTAGCATTTATTGTTTTTATGAAAATAAGTACCAAAGATTAAGGCTTTCAAGAATCTAATTCCTTTGAAGCTTTTGAATTAATTTATCCCAAATTCGGTTTCGATCCACCAAGTGGAAGAACAAAATCTCAACATACAAGATGTCAACTAGATCGACATCATAAACGATGGGTCAAGACGCGTCATGAGAAAATGTGATGATGAAAATTGGCTTGCACAGTTTAACTTCTGTAGTACCACATGATTTCACCTCTCCTATTCAAGTCCGGTAGGCAACTTTCTATTTTTAATAAAAAGCACAATGATATATTTACCTAATGAGATCTATCACACATTTTGTTTGTGGTTTGTTGAATTCTTTCCATAACTTGAGGTATGTAAACATTAAGATCGATCACCAAAGATATCTTTTTTTGGGTTAAAAAATTATCTCGTTAATTTACTTTTATTATTTCGAGAGTAATATTTTACACGTTTGATAGCATTGTACAAATTGTACGAGAGTAAGGCTATTGATAGGTCGATAAAATTTTTTTTTGGAGGTGAATGAAAAATAAAAGTGGCTTTTACCTCGTTTGTCGCACAGAATCAGTTTCGCTACTGAAAATCTTGATCATGTACAGTATGTCACTAAACTTATTAAACCATTGGTTGATTCATGTTAAAATATCTTTAATATATTCATGTTAAATAAAACAAGACTTGAAAATGAAATGTTTGTGAAAAATTTTTCATTTTGAATTATTTAACAAAAAATTCAATCTTTTATTCTCCGAAAGTTAATCCTACAAAATTATCCTTTCAAGTAATGAATTGTTTGTGTATATTTACCATTCAAATTTTTATTTTTTTTTATTCTTTAACTGTTAATTTATTCTTTTAAAACAAAATGGTTGAACCATGACATCATTAACTTCGTTAACAAACCAGAATATCTCTATTCAAGAAACATCAATTCTTTTAGATGATAAATACAATGATATTTATTATTTACCTTTAATTATCCTGAGGCTGATACTCAATTTTGATTTTTTTTGTGTAACAAAACCGCGAAATTTGATAATTTTGCAAGATATAAATTATTTTTTAATATTTTGAATAAAACCACAA